GCCACCCAGGATAACCCAAAAAAGTCAGTGTCATCGAAGACTGTCTAACTTATTTCCATTGGGGTCCTTAATCTTATCTCCCAGGATGCAACCCACACAAGTCGACTAACACCCAGGTGAACAGGGAAAAATGCCTGGAACTAGTGCTCATATTGGTGAATTTAAAGCCAGCAAAGGTTGGTTTGAGAGATTTAAGAATCGTAGTGGCATACACAGTGTGATAAGGCCTGTTCTGGAAGAAAATGCCAAACAGGACCTACAGTACTCAGGAGGAAAAGGCACTCCCAGGACAGTGTCTCATCAGTCATTGCTGCATCTTCAATAAAGGTAAGTGTCATTTATTCTTCATTTAGTAGAATAGTACATGCACAATATATACTGTGCATGTACTACTCTACTATTGTGCATGTATCCTTCTCTTTGTGTGTGGGAAAATGTATATTTCATGTGGTAAAATTTTTTTTTTCATACTTTTGGGTGTCTTACACGGATTAATTTTATTTCCATTATTTCTTATGGGGAAAATTCATTCACATAACGATTATTTCGCATAACAATTACCCCTCTTGCACGGATTAAAATCGTTAACCGGGGGTCCACTGTACTCAGTTGACAGAACAGAATTAAGCTTATTCAGGTATATACAAATACAGTTACATAGATTATCATATATAACAGTGTATGTATAGAAAACCAAGGATAACCCAAAAAAATCAAACAAAGTGACATATATCCAGTACCTGGAAATAAGTCACTTGAAACCTCTGCATTGTCCATTGCACAGTGGTAGTAACTGTTAGTCTGGGTAAGAATCAGGTTCGTTACAGGCTCATCAATGTATAGTTGAAAATAGTCTAACTTTATAGACTAATTTTTGATGGGACATTCTAGCATGATGCCACTTCCACTGGCCTCAAAATTGCAAGGATGTGGCACGAATGGTGTGCTTTCTGTCCAAATCCATTCACGGTCACATGGTGCAGGGCATACCTGTGGCATGGGGCGTGGGGAAGCAGAAGGTGGGATAGTAGTGGAGGCAGCACATGGTTGAGGGGGTGTCGGGTAGTCACCCACGCACTGCACCATGCGGTACAGGCACCATGCCACCCACCACCATCACCTCTTCCTCCATCCCCACATATTTTCCTTCATGATCACTATCACTATCAGTGGCCTGGGTTATGGATTGTGACCTCCCATGACCCTTGCAGACTGCACATGGCACACTGCCTGAACATAGGTGTGGAAAATTTTATAGGGGTGATTACCTGTACGTACCTCAACATTACATGCATACGAGTAATCTCATTGGGAGACAACAACTATATTGTTTACCGCAGTCACCCCGTGTAGACATGTGAGAAAACTTAACCACCTCTGGTCACTGCAGGTGGCTCCCTCGGCCCTCACAATCTTATCCATATCTATCCAAGACCAGTATAAAATGGATAGCACCCTCAAGTACGGTGCTACTAATTAATTGTGGACTGTATAGATTATATTAGTGTAACTGAGTGAAGGGGGGGGAGGGGGTAGGTTACACATGGATATATCCATCAAGGAAAAACACTTGTACATAATCCCACCACTTACCAGATATTCTCTGGTGGTCACTTGATGTAGCTGGATCACCCATAACCCATCCAATTACAACATACCTAACTGGCCAGTATCAGTCTGCTATAACTAGAAAGGTTACTTAGCTGTGGGTGATTGATGCTCCTTATTTCCTCCATTCACCATCTCATTTCGATGTCCTGTTACACCGACACGGTTCTTATTCCAGCAGGACGAGGTATCCATTGGTTTGTCCCGGTTTAGAAGTCGTGACTCCATAAAAACTTCACTATCCTCGAGACAGGAACAACGAGGTAAACATGTGCACACACACTCTGGGAATGGCAGCTCATATCGCTTCAACGATTCCTTAACTTAGTGTTATTATCACTGATTACATTACAATTCACAAGACGATTTAATGTCTCATAATTATTATACACATTAGAGGTCACTCCATTAAGTTCTGAGACCGATGAGTGAGGATTAACTCACGGGTAATTTCCCCTGGACACATTCCATGGCGGCGCACCCGTCACCCCCAGTCCTACTATTATCCACTCATTTTACCACTTTATTACGGTGGTCACGCAAATCACATTCCCTCACTCTCCACCAGGAACAGTTACGACACTTCCTATTAGTAAGTGAGGCCTATATTAATCCTTAGGCCGCCATGAACGCCAATTTCCTGATCCCATGTTTTCACAGCCTCCTCACTACATTCAAAACACTGCTGCCAACCCCTGCCCTGAGTCGACCTGTCCCCCCGCACATCCTCGCAGGCGCAGGGTGAACCCGGTTGGTTCAAAATACAAATACATTTTGACCCAAATCAACACATTAAACACTTATTAGGCACTATAGCTTCGGAAATTAAATAATTTCCACAATAGGTGACGATGCCTAAAAGTACATTTCACTGGGGAATAATGAATATCACTATCACTTGATGAATCCTCTATGGGCATAAAATCAATCTCATCGTCACTTATATCACTTTCACTATCATCAACACCAAAACCGAGGGAAAATGATAATTTCTTGCATAGTTGCCTTTGGGTAGTAACACTAGCCACCCCAGAGGTGTTGGGCTGAGGGTCCAGTCTAGCCACACTGTCCACACTGGCCACCCCAGAGGTAATGGGCTGAGGGTCATCTGGGTTTTCATCAATAGTTACACTAATTCCTTGATCATTATTGGCCATATCGGTGTCAGATACACTAAACTCGTGTTCTGTATCATTTTTCGTGAATAGGAGAGTGTTAATACGATGAGGCATGAGTGAATCACAGGGGTTTGCCATGATGTTGACCCAAGATGGACCTGAAACTAACTGGTGCTACCACGCAGTACCCTGGCGTCCCCAATTTTTTTCATGCTGCACACACTGAGTGCGCAGACCCATTCTCTCATGTCTAGGCCACTCAAGCCTATCGAGAAAAAGACATTAAGTTCATTAGCAGTATCGGCTGGCTGGAGGAGAGGTTCTTCTGGTTTCGTTAAGTTAATCATTATGTTTTGTGACAGCTTTTTAGATCCTAGAATTTCAGATAAGGTTTTATGTCATGAAATCTGTTTTCATAATACAGTTTTTTTGACCTTATTAGATTGGTTAGAACTGATGAGTAACATTTTGCCAGTTCCTTTGTTATTAGACCCATTCTGTATTGTTTTTCATATAGATGTTTTTTATCAATAGATTTGAGGATGCTGTTTGTAAGCCAGAGGCCATTTAGTCTCTTTGATGTGATCTGCTTAGTTTTAATTGGGCAATGAATGTTATAGAGGTTTTGGGTTTTTTGTAAAAAAATATTAACACATTCATCAACATTGAGGTTGACTGCTAGCTTGTTTTGCTAGTTGATGTTACTTAATGCTGAAATAAAGTTTCTTAACCTTTTCAGGGTCGAGAGGCCCCTCTCCGAAACTCAGGGTCAAAAATTTTTCAAAAAAAAAATAAAAATTATTTTTCTTATGAAATGATAGAGAATCTTTTCCTGATCATAATGACACCAAAAGTATGAAATCTGATGGAAAATTTACAGAACTATGCTCTTGTGAAGTTAGTGATCTCAAAGATGTTTATGCATCGGCGATTTTGCCCACTTTGAGCCCTATTTTCGGCCAATTCCAATATGCCAGTCAACAAAAATCATAACTATTTCACTAGAACTCCATTTTTTCTATCGAATGAGTACAAGCAAACCACCCATTTACCGATTTCAACTAGCCAATAAAGTGGTCAGAAATTGGCAATTTTTTAAATTTCACACAAATTTCAAAAGATGCCAATTTCCAAATAGGATCCAGAATAAACAAGACAGACATTCCTGGCACTAAAATAACATTTTCTCTGTTCATTAGTCATGTCCCCACACCCCTCTTACATTTCTTTTGCTTTCCACTTTCAATTTTTATTCTCACAAAAAAAATAGAAGATTTACTGTTATACAGACTACTGCATTAGTGTAGAAATGGTATAAATAACATCAGCACACTTGTGAAAGAATATTAGACTCACCAGTTGACGTGTATTGGATGCATGGCATGATTTGTTTACTTTTGAACATTGGCAAAAATCAAACATTTCTGCTACTTTGAGCTCAATTTCAAGGTACTTTTCATTGGGAAACCAATCAAAATCACCTCAATTTCTGTAATATGTCTTCCATTCTATAAAATGAGACCAAGAAAATGAGAATACAACCATAAATACCATACGAAAATACACTGCAAAGTCGCTGTTTTAAACCAAAACCACAGTTGGAGTTTTTTTTTCTCATTATGCACTGTGTGCTGCAGGAAATTTTTTATACTGCGCACACTGACCACATAGACCCATTCTTTCATATGTATGCCTACCAGCTTTCTCTCGCTAGATTTGAAGGCGCTAGAATTTATACGTACTAGTACGGCACCAACCCTGGCATGCAAGCTGTATTAGTACGACACTGACCCTGAAAGGGTTAATTGACAATTTTGCTAAACTAATAGAGACCTCTCCTTCCTTTTGACAGAACATGTGAATAGTGAAAATCTGCATCAATATCGTTACTGAGCATAAAACCATCAAAATTAATTTGGATACCATTGTTAAGGTGATGGTGGAAGAGTAATGGTGGATGATGGAGGTGAGAGAAGGATGAAGGTAAACTGCTAAGCAGGATTTCTTATGCAGTTAACTACAATCATAGTACAATACGAAATGTAGTTTATGAACAAATGATACAATTTAAAAAGTGATTTATTGTTTCAAACTGATTCAGTGATCTTCTGAAACGTAGAATTTCTTAAATAGTTATTATTTATCTACTTGTCGGTTTTGCACACTATTAATATGTATGATAAATCTGTATAGATCTTTTATTATAAATCCAGATATAACTGAAAAGAAAATTATAAAGGAATAAAGTGAGAGAAGATCAACAAGAAGCATCACCTGAGAGATCTGCAGGATTTTATCTCGTGCTTGGGTGTCGATGGTCTGAATTGTTACGTGATCCTTTGAAGCTGCCACAAGGATAGAGGCCAGCATACTTGCAACAATATTAATGTTAGTCAGAGAATCAAGGTTGCTATTTTGTTGGATGGAGGTGAGAGCGTCATTGATCATGTTTGCTTTGGCTGCTATACGTTGATTGATCTGATCCTGGGTGAGATTCTTAACACTGTTTGCATCCACAGCCAGCCACGGAGCCTGAGTCATTACAGTGCTTACATTAGTTTTATTTTAGTTTGTCATCTTCAATGCAGCTCCAGAAGGTTTTTATAGGAGGGATTTAGGGGTGGTAATCTGGTTGGAAGAGGCTCGGGGACTTGTTTTAAAGCAGTTATTATTTTTATCTGGGGGGCTTTGAAGAGCTGATTAAATTTTGGGAACCTGAGCCCTCCATGCCTTCCTTGGCATTGCTCCTAGTTATCTTTGAAATGTATTACAAAATTATGTTTCCAAAAATATTTTATATAAAAATATTCAAGATTTTATAAAAGAAGCACTGAAACAAAATAATAAATTATACTTACCTATTGTAAATATACAATGCACTATATACAGCAGGAAAAATTATATATTCAGTAACTCACATAAAATATTAAACATAGTTTCATCACAAGCAAATTATTTTTATTAGGAATTTCCACCTTATTAGAAGGTAGATGAGAGAGAAGAAATAACATCTTACATTATCAGCCACTTTTTGTTGAGCAAGTAGCACCATGTTCAGCAGCTGCTGATCTCCTGAGCCCCGAAGTGCTGCGATCACACCAGTAATATCAGCTGCAGCAAGAGCTGCTTGGGATGGCATATACACCTGGAGCAGTACAAAAATGTACATGCTATGAAGAGCCCACACAGGTATATAGTTCTTCTTTAATATTTGTTAGAAAAAGAAACATGGATATTACTGAAAAGCAATGTGGAGGGTCACTGTGGAGGGTTGCTGTTTTTTATTTTATGTCTTTGCAAACGGTACATTGAGATTTTATATTTACAATAGTGGGTTGCAATGCAAAGAGAGCCTCTATTATGCCTAGGCATTATGGGCCAACTTAACATTATTGGCTTACAGACTACTTAACACTAAGGATTTTATCATAGTTGTACAGTAGGAAAGTAATCATTTCATAGTTGAACAGTAGGTTATTAATTATAAGTGAATTAAATTTGTATAAGACAAAGGATATATTCAAATAGTCTAAAATGCTTATTGTGAAAAACAATGGTTCAATTATATTCCTGTCAACAATGGATAAGAGGTTCAAAGTGATTGTTGAAGTTATGATGTAGGAGTACATAGGCGAGTATGTGTGTATTGTATATTTAGCATTTAGTCTATGGTGATTAAGTGGCTTTTGAGAAGAGTCTTAAATTGATTTTCAGACTGGGTTACTTTAATATATTCTGTAATGAATTCCATATTTTAGGGCCCTTTATGCACATAGAGTTTTTACATAGTCTTCAAGCTGGCATTGGACAAGCACCTAAAGTTGGTTCCTGATCAGCCGGGCTGTGGCTCGTACGTTGGTTTGCGTGCAGCCAGCAGTAACAGCCTGGTTGATCAGGCTCTGATCCACCAGGAGGCCTGGTCACAGACCGGGCCGCGGGGGCGTTGACCCCCAGAACTCTCTCCAGGTAAACTCCAGGTAATAGTGATATGGACACGAGGTATATCAAAGAGAGATCTGTGTCTTGTGTTGTGGTCGTGTGTCCTGTTTAAGTTGGTGAGGAGAAGTTTGAGTGGAGGGTTTATATTTGTGTGTATTGTTCTGTGTATGTAGAAGGCACATGAATAAGTATGGATGTTCTTAATGGTGAGCAGATTTAGACTTTTGAAAATTGGTGGAGTATGCTGGCGGGAGTGGTACCTTATCTTTGATAGTATGCCTACAGTCTTGGAGATTTTCTTGGTGATTTGTTGTATGTGTGTCCGGAACTTAAGGCTACTGTCAGGGTGGATACCTAGGAATTTTGCTTCTGTGAGTCTTGTGACTGATGATCCATTTATCGTTATGTTAATTGGATCATTTGCAGCTTTGTTTCCAAACTGAATGAAATAGGTTTTATCGGTATTCAGGGTAAGTTTATTAGTCATCATCCAGGCAGATATTTTCTCCAATTCGGCATTGACTGTGTTTGCTAGTATGACTGTGTTTGGGTGGGAAAAGACATATGTAGTGTCATCTGCAAATAATATGAGTTTGAGTAGCTGTGATGCATTCGGTAGATCATTGATGTAGATGAGAAAGAGGAGTGGTCCAAGGACACTTCCTTGTGGGACCCCTACTGTGATTGGTTGGGTGGAAGAGTTTGCATCATTTGCATACACATATTGAGTTCTGTTACTAAGGTATGATTTTAGGTAGTTGAGGGAGTGGTCTCTGATACCATAGTGTGTTAATTTGGAGTACAGCAGTTTATGGTCGACTGTATCGAAAGCTTTACGTAAATCAATGAAAATGCCCAGCGGGACTTCTTTCTTTTCGAGTGTGGTGTATATTAGTTCTAGCATGTGTATGATTGCATCATTCGTGCTTTTATTATCCTGAATCCAAAGTGACAGGGGTTTAACATGTTGCGTGAGACGAGGTAGGAATAGATCTGTCTATGAATAAATTTTTCAAAGATTGGAGAATTATTGGAGAATTACTGGGGAATTATTGTGGATAGTTAATGTGGAGGGGTCATTAAGGAGGATTACTGTGGGTCACTGTGGAGGATTACTGACTCACAGTGGAGGATTGCTATAAGTCACTGCAGAAGGGTACTATTAAGGGTACTGCAGAAGGATCACTATTAAGGATCACTGAGGAGGGGCACTGTAGAAAGTCAATGTAGAGGAAAACCTGTGAGAGTAACTTAGGAATACAACAACCAGTGCCACAACTAGAGAGTAGAGGAAACAAATTTTCATTTCATGCAAACCCTTTCTGGAAAAACCAACTTACCTGCAATCCACTAGTAGCAGTGACAGTGGTGAAGGCCCCTGCCCGGTCCAATACCTGAACACTGATATTGAAGACCCCAGGAGGAAGCACAAGTGTTCCTACTTGAGGAGGCACTCCACCTTGTTTCATGTCCAAAATTGTTGTCACCACATTATCAGCATCAATGACTACAAAAAAGAAAGAAAAAGGAAGAGTAAAGTGTAAATGAATGTGCTTAATTATTACAAACTAACCAAATCACTTGTCAGGGGTTTAAACTTCACCCATTCTGTGGTTTGTACTCAAGTATGTTTGGAGAAAGAGGGATGGCAATATGAGGCTTACATAGAAAGAGATAGAGATAAACTGAAAAATATTTACTGTGTCTTTAGGGTACATGGATGTTACTATGCATGGATTTACATTTTGTTTGGTTACAGATTGGTTGCAGTTATGAAGAAAACATCACCTTGCATATTGAAAGGAAAGACCTTTGTTAAGTACAACAGGACCCCTGTAATCACAGGGGATATGTTCCAAGGACCTGCCATGGATACCAAAACTGCGGATAGTAGCAAACCTTATGTATAAGTCCTATACATACCTATTATAAAGTGTAAATGATAACTCTCCATTTCTTTTTTTAACAAGTCGGCCGTCTCCCACCGAGGCAAGGTGACCCAAAAAGAAAGAAAATCCCCAAAAAGAAAATACTTTCATCATCATTCAACATTTTCACCTCACTCACACATAATCACTGTTTTAGCAGAGGTGCTCAGAATACAACAGTTTAGAAGCATATACATATAAAGATACACAACATATCCCTAAAACTGCCAATATCCCAAACCCCTCCTTTAAAGTGCAGGCATTGTATTTCCCATTTCCAGGACTCAAGTCCGGCTACATAAAAATAACCGGTTTCCCTAAATCCCTTCACTAAATATTACCCTGCTCACACTGCAACAGCTCGTCAGGTCCCAAATACCATTCGTCTCCATTCACTCCTATCGAACACGCTCACGCATGCCTGCTGGAAGTCCAAGCTCCTCGCCCACAAAACCTCCTTTACCCCTTCCTTCCAACCCTTTCAAGGATGACCCCTACCCCGCCTTCCTTCCCCTACAGATTTAAATGCTCTCCATGTCATTCTACTTTGATCCATTCTCTCTAAATGACCAACCCACCTCAACAACCCCTCTTCAGCCCTCTGACTAATACTTTTATTAACTCCACATCTCCTAATTTCCACACTCCGAATTTTCTGCATAATATTTACACCACACATTGCCCTTAGACAGGACATCTCCACTGCCTCCAACCGCCTCCTCGCTGCTGCATTCACAACCCAAGCTTCACACCCATATAGAGTGTTGGTACTACTATACTTTCATACATTCCCTTCTTTGTCTCCATAGAAAATGTTTTTTGTCTCCACATATACCTCAGTGCACCACTCACCTTTTTCCCCTCATCAATTCTATAATTAACCTCATCCTTCATAAATCCATCCGCTGACACATCAACTCCCAAGTATTTGAAAACATTCACTTCTTCCATACTACTCCTCCCCAATTTGATATCCAATTTTTCTTTATCTAAATCATTTGATACCCTCATCACCTTACTCTTTTCTATGTTCACTCTCAACTTTCTACCTTTACACACACTCCCAAACTCATCTGCTAACCTTCACAATTTTTCTTTAGAATCTCCCATAAGCACAGTATCATCAGCAAAAAGCAACTGTGTCAATTCCCATTTTGTATTTGATTCCCAATAATTTAATCCCACCCTTCTCCCGAACACCCTAGCATTTACTTCTTTTACAACCCCATCTATAAATATATTAAACAACCATGGTGACATTACACATCCCTGTCTAAGACCTACTTTTACTGGGAAGTAGTCTCCCTCTCTTTTACACACCCTAACCTGAGCCTCACTATCCTCATAAAAACTCTTTACAGCATTTAGTAACTTACCACCTATTCCATATACTTGCAACACCTGCCATATTGCTCCCCTATCCACTCTATCATATGCCTTTTCTAAATCCATAAATGCAATAAAAACTTCCCTACCTTTATCTAAATACTGTTCACATATATGCTTCAATGTAAACACTTGATCTACACACCCCCTACCTACTCTAAAACCTCCTTGCTCATCTGCAATCCTACATTCTGTCTTACCTCTAATTCTTTCAATTATAACCCTACCGTACACTTTTCCTGGTATTCTCAGTAAACCTATTCCTCTATAATTTTTACAATCACTTTTGTCCCCCTTCCCTTTATATAAAGGGACTATACATGCTCTCTGCCAATCTCTAGGTACCTTCCCCTCTTTCATACATTTATTAAACAAAAATACCAACCACTCCAAAACTATATCCCCCCCCCTGCTTTTAACATTTGTCATGATCCCGTCAGTTCCAGCTGCTTTACCCCCTTTCATTCTACATAATGCCTCACGTACCTCCCACACACTCACATCCTGTTCTTCTTCACTCCTAAAAGATGGTATACCTCCCTGTCCAGTGCACGAAATTACCGCCTCCCTTTCTTCGTCAACATTTAAAAGTTCCTCAAAATATTCTTGCCATCTACCCAAACCTCCCTCTCCTCATCTACTAACTCCCCTACTCTGTTTTTAACTGACAAATCCATTTGTTCCCTAGGCTTTCTTAACTTGTTTAACTCACTCCAAAATTTTTTCTTATTTTCATTAAAATTTCTTGACAGTGCCTCTCCCACTCTATCATCATTAGTATTAAGATTAAATGAAGATTTATTAAAAAGTTAACCACTCTTATCTTGTCTAGATTTAAGTAGTTATTATGTACTAGGATTAGTCTGCCTGAAATGCCCCGGCATGATAGTGGCTTTCTTTGTACTTAGAAAAACCAAACTGTAATTACACATTGTAACCTTTACAAAACATAAAATCTTTATTCTTTATTCACTTAGAACCAGGACATCCAGCTTCTTTTCATTCACAACATCCACAATTATCTCTTTCTTATCATTCGCATTACATCCATGCACATTCAAACATCCCATTGCTCCAGGCATTTTAGTTCACTTTTACAATGCATATGGTTTATGCTGGAAAAATTCTTATTCCACTTCCTCATGGATATGAAAATAAAATAATAAGAACCAAAACTGAAAGAAAAACAAAGAAAACTTAGGTGAGTAATTATACATATATGTGTACATGATCATGTTAAATGATCAGTTATGGAAGGAGAAAAGAGAATATGAATGTGTAAATTCAAGAATTATGTGGATTAAAGTAAAGGTTGGATGCGAGAAGTGGGTCATAATAAGCGTGTATGCACCTGGAGAAGAGAGGAATGCAGAGGAGAGAGAGAGATTTTGGGAGATGTTAAGTGAATGTATAGGAGCCTTTGAACCAAGTGAGAGAGTAATTGTGGTAGGGGACTTGAATGCTAAAGTAGGAGAAACTTTTAGAGAGGGTGTGGTAGGTAAGTTTGGGGTGCCAGGTGTAAATGATAATGGGAGCCCTTTGATTGAACTTTGTATAGAAAGGGGTTTAGTTATAGGTAATACATATTTTAAGAAAAAGAGGATAAATAAGTATACACGATATGATGTAGGGCGAAATGACAGTAGTTTGTTGGATTATGTATTGGTAGATAAAAGACTGTTGAGTAGACTTCAGGATGTACATGTTTATAGAGGGGCCACAGATATATCAGATCACTTTCTAGTTGTAGCTACACTGAGAGTAAAAGGTAGATGGGATACAAGGAGAATAGAAGCATCAGGGAAGGAGAGGTGAAGGTTTATAAACTAAAAGAGGAGGCAGTTAGGGTAAGATATAAACAGCTATTGGAGGATAGATGGGCTAATGAGAGCATAGGGAATGGGGTCGAAGAGGTATGGGGTAGGTTTAAAAATGTAGTGTTAGAGTGTTCAGCAGAAGTTTGTGGTTACAGGAAAGTGGGTGCAGGAGGGAAGAGGAGCGATTGGTGGAATGATGATGTAAAGAGAGTAGTAAGGGAGAAAAAGTTAGCATATGAGAAGTTTTTACAAAGTAGAAGTGATGCAAGGTGGGAAGAGTATATGGAGAAAAAAGAGAGGAGTTAAGAGAGTGGTTGAAGCAATGTAAAAAAGAGGCAAATGAGAGAGTGGGTGAGATGTTATCAAACAAATTTTGTTGAAAATAAGAAAAAGTTTTGGAGTGAGATTAACAAGTTAAGAAAGCCTAGAGAACAAATTGATTTGTCAGTTAAAAATAGGAGGGGAAAGAGTTATTAAATGGAGAGTTAGAGGTATTGGGAAGATGGAAGGAAATATTTTGAGGAATTTTTTAAATGTTGATGAAGATAGGGAAGCTGTGATTTCGTGTATAGGGCAAGGAGGAATAACATCTTGTAGGAGTGAGGAAGAGCCAGTTGTGAGTGTGGGGGAGTTCGTGAGGCAGTAGGTAAAATGAAAGGGGGTAAGGCAGCCGGGATTGATGGGATAAAGATAGAAATGTTGGAGGCAGGTGGGGATGTAGTTTTGGAGTGGTTGGTGCAATTATTTAATAAATGTATGAAGAGGGTAAGGTACCTAGGGATTGGCAGAGAGCATGCATAGTTCCTTTGTATAAGGGCAAAGGGGATAAAAGAGAGTGCAAAAATTATAGGGGATAAGTCTGTTGAGTGTACCTGGTAAAATGTATGGTAGAGTTATAATTGAAAGAATTAAGAGTAAGACGGAGAATAGGATAGCAGATGAACAGGGAGGCTTTAGGAAGGGTGGGGGGTGTGTGGACCAGGTGTTTACAGTGAAACATATAAGTGAACAGTATTTAGATAAGGCTAAAGAGGTCTTTGTGGCATTTATGGATTTGGAAAAGGCGTATGACAGGTGGATAGGGGGGCAAAGTGGCAGATGTTGCAAGTGTATGGTGTAGGAGGTAGGTTACTGAAAGCAGTGAAGAGTTTTTACGAGGATAGTGAGGCTCAAGTTAGAGTATGTAGGAAAGAGGGAAATTTTTTCCCAGTAAAAGTAGGCCTTAGACAAGGATGTGTGATGTCACCGTGGTTGTTTAATTATATTTATAGATGGGGTTGTAAGAGAAGTAAATGCGAGGGTCTTGGCAAGAGGCGTGGAGTTAAAAGATAAAGAATCACACACAAAGTGGGAGTTGTCACAGCTGCTCTTTGCTGATGACACTGTGCTCTTGGGAGATTCTGAAGAGAAGTTGCAGAGATTGGTGGATGAATTTGGTAGGGTTGTGCAAAAGAAGAAAATTAAAGGTGAATACAGGAAAGAGTAAGGTTATGAGGATAACAAAAAAGATTAGGTGATGAAAGATTGAATATCAGATTGGAGGGAGAGAGTATGGAGGAGGTGAAGTATTCAGATATTTGGGAGTGGACGTGTCAGCGGATGGGTCTATGAAAGATGAGGTGAATCATAGAATTGATGAGGGAAAAAGAGTGAGTGGTGCACTTAGGAGTCTGTGGAGACAAAGAACTTTGTCCTTGGAGGCAAAGAGGGGAATGTATGAGAGTATAGTTTTACCAACGCTCTTATATGGGTGTGAAGCGTGGGTGATGAATGTTGCAGCGAGGAGAGGCTGGAGGCAGTGGAGATGTCATGTCTGAGGGCAATGTGTGGTGTGAATATAATGCAGAGAATTAGTAGTTTGGAAGTTAGGAGGAGGTGCGGGATTACCAAAACTGTTGTCCAGAGGGCTGAGGAAGGGTTGTTGAGGTGGTTCGGACATGTAGAGAGAATGGAGCGAAAACAGAATGACTTCAAGAGTGTATCAGTCTGTAGTGGAAGGAAGGCGGGGTAGGGGTCTGGCCTAGGAAGGGTTGGAGGGAGGGGGTAAAGGAGGTTTGTGTGTGCGAGGGGCTTGGACTTCCAGCAGGCAATGCGTGAGCGTGTTTGATAGAGTGAATGGAGACAAATGGTTTTTAATACTTGACGTGCTGTTGGAGTGTGAGCAAAGTAACATTTATGAAGGGATTCAGGGAAACCGGCAGGCCGGACTTGAGTTCTGGAGATGGGAAGTACAGTGCCTGCACTCTGAAGGAGGGGTGTTAATGTTGCAGTTTAAAAACTGTAGTGTAAAGCACCCTTCTGGCAAGACAGTGATGGAGTGAATGATGGTGAAAGTTTTTCTTTTTCGGGCCACCCTGCCTTGGTGGGAATCGGCCGGTGTGATAATAAAAAAAAAAAAAAAATAAAAAAAAAATGTGTACATACATGTGTAGTGTGACCTAAGTAAAAAGTATGAAGATATACCTGTTATCTTGTGTTTATGAGACAGAAAAAAAGACAATGGCACTCCTACCATCATGCAAAACAAATACAGGTTTCTATCTTACACTCATCTGACAGGATAGTAGTACCTCCCTGGGCGGTTGCTGTCTAACAACCTACTAATAATAACATTATTATTTTGCTAACATCATTACCAATTTTAGATACAGTATCTTAACAACTTGCTGTTCTTCTTCTTTCAACACACCAGCCGCATCCCACCGAGGTGGGGTGACCCAAAACGAAAAACAAAAGTTTCTCTTTTTTAAATTTAGTAATTTATACAGGAGAAGGGGTTGCTAGCCCCTTGCTCCCGGCATTTTAGTCGCCTCTTACAACACGTATGGCTTACGAAGGAAGAATTCTGTTCCACTTCCCCATGGAGATAAGAGGAAATAAACAAGAACAAAAACTAGAAAGAAAATAGCAGAAACCCCAGAGGGGTGTGTGTATATATATGCTTGTACATGTATGTGTAGTGTGACCTAAGTTTAAGTAGAAGTAGCAAGACGTACCTGAAATTTTGCATGTTTATGAGACAGAAAAAAGGACACCAACAATCCTACCATCATGTAAAACAATTACAGGCTTTCGTTCCACACTCACTTGGCAGGACAGTAGTACCTCCCTGGGCGGTTGCTGTCTACCAACCTACTACTAATAACATTATTATTTTGCTAACATCATTACCAATTTTAGATACAGTATCTTAACAACTTGCTGTTATTGTGATTAATTTACTCTCAAGTCTTATTAACTACTGTATTGTATTCTATTATAATATTATTTAAGGGTTCCAAATGCGCATACACCTTTAACTGCTTTCTTCAATCGTGCATATTTTTCCCCTGAATGAACAATGAACTTTCTTAATTTTATGCTCTTCAGCATCAATCATAGCCTCTCTCTATTTCAAGTGTTTGACTTTTTATTCATTCACTGCTAATATCATGCACATGTGGCTTAGTTTTTATGACAAAAGAACAAAAAAGGCACACTACTGTGACTGGAACAATACACAAGTAACCCACAAACAAGAGAGAAAAGCTTGCGACAACAGTACAGTATAAATTGATTTAATTCATAAACAACTCAAACTTTAAAAGGCACATTAGCCAATGGTAAATTATAGAAACTACTTCAGTTAAATAACTGAATATTTACCAACTATGGAACAGTAAGAGAATTACATAACCTGGAGGCCAACATAAAGCGACTTTCACTCACTTAGCTATGTACCAGGTATTACACTTAAGATTATCCTTCTTTTGTTTCATTCATAATGAAAATACAGTATACCATAAAACAATGATGAGGTTGCACTCAGGTTACTCACTGCTGACTACATAATCAGTTATGGTTCCATCTGGGTCCTGCCAGCCATTACACGTGAGCATGAAGTGGTCAATAAGTGCCAGCTGAGTTGATGGAGCAGTCACATTGCATGACCCATTGCGAGGTTTCTGATTTATTTTCATGAAGTAGACAGAATTTCCTTAAATAAGAGAAAAATATACTGTTTTACATGAAAATAGCAAGTTATGAGAACTGAAAATAAATTTAGTTACAGCATCTTATGTGATGAGAATGCAATAAACAAAACATGAGATAACTGTATCATCTGGTCCTCTACAACTGTTTTTCTCACTCACTCTTCACAGTAAAAAATTAACCCACGCAAATCAATACCACTGTATCAAAAAAAAAAAAATAATGTTAAAGACTATCACTATACAATTTTAAATCATTCATGACCTGAGTGTTCTGAACTTGAAACCTACAGCTCTTTACCCTCACCCATGTTATAATCAAAAAGGAGTTACAGATCCATAATATTCTGTGTTATTTATAAATTAAATGTTTTTTAGCAATGAAATTAAAAATAATGTACAGTACAGTACTGAAATGAGTCTCTCTTTCTTCCTTTTTTTGCTTTCTTTCTACCTGCCCTCCCATTCTTTCTCCCATGTCCTAGCCTCCTTATCAACCACCCACACCCATGAGTGGGTGTGAGTGTGTGTGAGTTAGACCTGGCTGGCTTGGACCAGTGGGTCTGCTACAGTACTTCTTCCATAAGTGGATGTGACTTGAACCTGACTGGCTTGGGCCAGTAGATGACTTGGACCTACCTAACATGGGCCAGTAGGCCTGCTGCAGTGCTCCTTCTTTCCTATATTCTTATTACCTGCCTCCCATTCTTGTATTCTCTCTTCTCCTTTCACCTATACCCTCTCTCCAATCATATTTGACACAACACTCTTCCACATACTCTCTGCTCCCTCACTGTTGTATTTGTGTGTGTGGTGTAGGCGGGCTGTGGTGAGAGGCGTGCAGGTATGGGCAGCAGCACAACTGTCTCCTAAATGCATTGTATAACTATGGGTTTTTCCAAGTACTATATTACAGAATTTTTTGTTTTTAACATGTCGGCCATTTCCCACTGAAGTAGGGTAACCCAAAAAGAAAGGAAAAACCCCAAAAATAAGAAAAAACTTTCACTAATGTATAATGATGTAATGTCATGAAAAATAAACTATCACTACTCTCTCCCATTTACTCCTTCCCACTGTATCTAGCACAAAACTCTTTGCATAAGCTTTCCACCCTCTCACTGTTTTGGTGAGAGTATTAGCTGCCTGGATATATTATGCTGGAAAATTGTGTTAAGAATAATTGTGCAAATGGACTACTGTTCTGGCATAAGTAGACTGAACTGCCACATATCGTCCACCAATCACATATGGGACACGATTGAGCCATTGCCCAAGAAATTAATGCAATTTTTTTTAATTTAGTAATTTATAGAGAAGGGGTTACCAGCCCCTTGCGCCCGGCATTTCAGTTGCCTCTTAATAATAATAATAATAATAAAAATAATAATAATAATAATAATAATATCTTTATTTACTACAAGTACATGTACAAGGTATACAGGCCTAGCTGACATCAATGACATACTACTAGTGTACATAGAAAGCCCCTTGTTATGCAGAGCATTTCGGGCAAATTAGGTCAGTTTTGTCCCAGGATGTGACCCACACCGGTCAACTAATACCCAAGTACCTATTTTACTGATGGGTGAACACAGACAACCGGTGTATGGAAACAAGTTCGATGTTTCCACCCCCTTGCCGAGAATCGAACCCGGACCCTCGCCATGTGAAGCAAGAGCTTACGGATGAAGAATATCAATGTAATTATTAAATCTACAGTTCATGATCAATGCCCACCAATAAATAAGTGCACTACACATGCATAATATGCATATAGGAAAAAATTAACATGCAAAAACAATATTTATACTGCAGCTTTAAACAAAATTGCAATAGTATTCAACTAGATTACTGTTTCTTGGCCAATCTCTACCAACAAATAAGAGCTCTTCACACATGCATAAAATGAGCAAACACAAAATATGAACGCACTCGCTGAAAAGAAAAACTGAAAACAACTAACTGAAAGAAAAAATTTATGCTTGCAGATTCATATCTGCACACAGGTGTCCATTAGAAATTAATTGGTTTCAAATTACCTCATTGTATGTAAGGATATTCATAACTCAGATATTCATTAAGTTGGAGTTCTTCTATACTGTATGTAAACTAAATTAAATAAGTAAAGTGAGGATAAGTAAAGTTTATTTTTTATGGCATTGCAAAATCTTACATTACATATTTTTCGATTTTATACGGAAAATCCCGTGTGTCTGACATGCTGTTGTCATTACTTTACTTTGCTTCACAAATGATGATTAACACTGACAGGAATGTAAGAAAGACACATACGTGAGATTAGGGTATTTATAAGGCGATGTTTTGCCCAGTGGTGGCTTAATCATTAGACTGCTAAAACCCCTGGCAGGTGAAAGGTCTCATTAACCCTTCAGGGTCGACAGGCCCTCTCAGAGACTTGTTCTCAGGGTCGGCTAAATTAAAAAAAAAAAAATTATTTTTTCTTATGAAATGATAGAGAATCTTTTCCCGAACATAATGACACCAAAAGTATGAAATTTGATGGAAAACTTACGGAATTATACTCTTGCGAAGTAAGCGGTCTCGACGATGTTTATGCATCGGCGATTTTGCCCACTTTGAGCCCTATTTTCGGCCAATTCCAGTATACTTGTCGACAAAAATCATAACTATATTTCGCTAGAACTCCATTTTTTCTATTGAATAAGTACAAGATACCACCCATTTACCGATTTCAACTATCCAATACAGTGGTCAGAATTTAGCAATTTTGCCAATTTCACACAAATTTCAAAAGATGCCAATTTCCAAATAGGGTCCAGAATAAACAAGAAAGACATTCCTGGCACTAAAATAACATTTCCTCTGTTCATTAGTCACGTCCCCATGCCCCTCTTACATTCTTTTGCTTTCCACTTTGAATTTTTATTCTCACAAAAAAATAGAAGATTTACTGTTATGCAGACTACTGCATTGGTGTAGAAATGGTATGAACAATATCAGCACACTTGTGAAAGAATATTAGACTCTCCAGTTGATGTGTATTGGATGCATAGCATAATTTGTTTACTTTTGAACTTTGGTAAAAATCGAACATTTCTGCTACTCTGAGCTCAATTTCAAGGTACTTTTCTTTGTAAAACCAGTCAAAATCATCTCAATTTCTGTAATGTCTTCCATTCTATAAAATGGAAAACTAGAATACGACAATAAATACCATATGAAAATACAGTGAAAAGTCGCTGTTTTAATCCAAAAACACGGTCAAAGTTTTTTTTTTTCTCATTACGCACTGTGTGCTGCAGGATTTTTTTTATACCGCGCACGCTGACCACATAGACCCATTCTTTCATATGTAGGCCTACCACCTTTCTCTCACTAGATTTGAGGGCGCTAGAATTTAGGCGTACTAGTACATCGAAAACCCTGGTTCGTAAGCCGTACTAGTACGGACGAAACCCTGAAAGGGTTAATAAATGTCCAAATACTGCATATATGTCTTTCTTACATACATGGGTCCTATGATATACTAAAGCCAGTCATTAAGAATATGGCAAACTGAAGAAATAATTAGTAACTCCGATACTTATTACACTTTTAATAATTCTGTATTAATTAGACACACCAACTGACCTACAGAACCGTCGCTCCCGGTCGCTGTTATGGAGAAGTGAATGATGGTCAAGCTCGGATTGTCATCAAAGAACTGGGTACTCAGAGAAACTTCTTCATTATTAAAACCTGTTTCAAAAATAATTCAAATTACTTAAGCATTAAATTGAATAAAGTAGTGAATTTGACATATAATATAATAAAACAATTTAAAAGGGTTATTAGCCAATAACTTTACAAAATGCTACAATCACCTTAACACCATAAGGTCTTTTATTCTTCTTATTTACCAAGCAATGTTTTCACAACTCTTGAAAACACTGAAAATATTAGAAAGAATGAAGTAAGATATGCTGCCCAAAAGGGTGAGTAAATCTGGGATGGAGAGAATATAAAGAATGTTGATAACAAAGGTGTGAAGATTTTGAGAGGTAGAGCTTCACCCTTGAGCAGATATGTGTGACTGGAGAAAAGTGCCTTTTGTGATTTGTTGTGTTATTTGAACATGAGTGTGAAGAAATCGTTGAAACCAGTCAGCTAGAGGTGAAAAGTAGAGTGCTTGCAATTTGCAAAATGGGTGATGTTTTGAGTTAGTGACTCACTTAAATTATAAACCCATGTACTTCAGTAAAGACAAGTAGAGAATGAGTGATGGAGTTTGTCTGCCTTCTTTGGGTCAGCCTACATTTTTTTTTTTGAGGGGGGGGGGTTTAACCACACCAACCATATTTCACCAAGGTAGGGAGACCCAAAGAAAGGAAAAACTTATCATCATTCAATCAATAATTGTCTTGCCAAAAATACCTACCTGTGTTAAAAAAAAAAAACTAATACTGTACAGCATAAATAAAAGTTCAGTATATATAAGGATAAGCCTTTGGTAGGGTGTGCAAAAGAAGAAAATTGAAAGTGAATACAGGAAAGAGTAAGGTTATGAGGATAACAAAAAGATTAGGTGATGAAAGATTGGATATCAGATTGGAGGGAGAGAGTATGGAGGAGGTGAATGTATTCAGATATTTGGGAGTGGACATGTCAGCGGATGGGTCTATGAAAGATGAGGTGAATCATAGAATTGATGAGGGGAAAAGGGTGAGTGGTGCACTTAGGAGTCTGTGGAGACAAAGAACTTTGTCCTTGGAGGCAAAGAGGGGAATGTATGAGAGTATAGTTTTACCAACGCTCTTATATGGGTGTGAAGCATGGGTGATGAATGTGCAGCGAGGAGAAGGCTGGAGGCAGTGGAGATGTCATGTCTGAGGGCAACGTGTGGTGTGAATATAATGCAGAGAATTTCGTAGTTTGGAAGTTAGGAGGAGGTGCGGGATTACCAAAACTGTTGTCCAGAGGGCTGAGGAAGGGTTGTTGAGGTGGTTCGGACATGTAGAGAGAATGGAGCGAAACAGAATAACTTCAAGAGTGTATCAGTCTGTAGTGGAAGGAAGGCGGGGTAGGGGTCGGCCTAGGAAAGGTTGGAGGGAGGGGGTAAAGGAGGTTTTGTGTGCGAGGGGCTTGGACTTCCAGCAGGCATGCGTGAGCGTGTTTGATAGGAGTGAATGGAGACAAATGGTTTTTAATACTTGACGTGCTGTTGGAGTGTGAGCAAAGTAACATTTATGAAGGGGTTCAGGGAAACCGGCAGGCCGGACTTGAGTCCTGGAGATGGGAAGTGCAGTGCCTGCACTCTGAAGGAGGGGTGTTAATGTTGCAGTTTAAAAACTGTAGTGTAAAGCACCCTTCTGGCAAGACAGTGATGGAGTGAATGATGGTGAAAGTTTTTCTTTTTCGGGCCACCCTGCCTAGGTGGGAATCGGCCAGTGTGATAATAAAAAAAAAAGCCTCACGGGTCTTGACTGGGGGGTTTCTAAGACTATGACCCTTTGTGAATATGAAGGTTTACATTGTACAGTACCACTTTTCCCACAAGATGAACAGGAAGGAAAATTTGCCCACACACTTTTCTGGCCAAGGAACAGAACCTGGGAGCATGCAGGTGTGAGCCAAATTGTCTTATCAAGCAACTCTTTAACATCCCTAGTGATATCTTATTCCCCTATTCTACCCATAAGCATTTATGCTTTTCTGTATAATGTAGATGTTATTTATTATCTAAGCTAGTAATTATGCATTAGTTAGAGGAGGGAAGACGGGGTAGGGGTCGGCCTAGGAAAGGGTGGAGGGAGTGGGTAAAGGAGGTTTGGTGTGCGAGGGGCTTGGACTTCCAGCAAGCATGCGGGAGTGTGTTAGATAAGAGTGAATGGAGACAAATGGATGGTTTTTAGGACTTCACGTGATGTTGGAATGTAAGCAAGGTAACATTTATGAAGGGATTCAGGGAAACTGGCAGGCCAGACTTGAATCCTAGAGACGGGAAGTACAGTGCCTGTACTCTGAAGGAGGGGTGTTAATGTTGCAGTTTTATAACTGTAGTGTAAGTGCACCTCTGGCAAGGTAGTGATGGAGTGAATGATGATTAAGGTTTTTCTTTTTCGCGCCACCCTACCTTGGTGGGAGAAAGCTGATGTGTTAATAAAAAAAAATATATACAGAGCATATAATAACTATAAATACAGCCTCTCCTCACTTAGCAACATACTTGTTTACTGATGCCTCGGACTTACGACAGGCTCTCTGAGCAGTATTCATACCTAAATAATGTATATTAGAGCAGATTTCCTCTATTCTGTTTACTTCAGTATACAGTACACTACTCCATAAACATTTAAAAATATACCAGAAATGTTATAAATGGTGAAATAGTGACATTAAAGCAATATCAAAGATGGATGACACGAACTCACTACCATTACAGTATGCTCCTCGCTTAGCGATGAATTCATTTAACGACATGGTCTCAGGGACAGAACTCCATCATTAAGTGAGGAGAGGCTGTATTTTTGAATGGGGAGTTTTATTATTACTGTTATAATTACATTACAGTGGACCCCTCCTTTCATTGGGCTCTGTTTTCATGAATTTCAGTTATCACTGACTTTTTTCATAAAAATATTGGCTCAGTTTTCGTTACTTTCCTCTGATCTCATCAGTGGTACAGTACCTGTCCGAGTGCTATGCACACACAAATCCTTCCACACACGCATTCTGAGGCAGTGTCGCTTTGTTTCTCGGAGAGTGAACATTATCCTGCAAAGTCATAGGAAACACTTCGTAATAATTCATTGTTTCTTGCACTTGTTTATTCTGCGTGACTGCTAACTAAGCCACCATGGGCCCAAAGAAAGCTGCTAGTGCCAGCCCATTGATAAAGGTGAGAAACACAATATAATTCAAGAAAAAACTCATAGCAAAGTACCAAAGTGGAGGAGGAAGAAAGAGGGGAGAACGTGCCTTCCTCAGTGATTCAGTGATTCTACAATATGCACGATACTAAAGAAGCAGGAGTCGATAAAGGCTATAGCACCAGCCAGTGATAAAGTGTAGCATTAAGAGTGTAGCAAGTAAGTTAGGCGATTAAGCAATAGAAAAAGGATGAAACGAATTTAACTCCTCCAATGTTGTTGGAGGTATATAGGGCCACTGACAAACATACGCCACCCTGCCTATCTTCCACCACCTTAAACCAATGCCAGCATCTCCAAGGTACAGTAAGTGTAAATATTTCTTATTTATAAAGTGTACATATTTCTTATTTATAAATTAAAGTGTAAATATTTCTTATTTATAAATTACGTACATTGTTTGTGTGAATAGTGTTGGTGGCTTCTGCTGCCGCCTCCACTACCATTAATATGTATGGCTTATGCTCTCAGTGGCTCTTATAAACCCAACAACAACACCACCACCATCAGTCTTCACATAGGTAATGACGTATTTTATTCATTCTAGAGTATATATCATGTTTCTATGTTATTAATACTGTTTATTATGTCATATTAGATGAATTTTGAAAGATAAATAAGCCATGGAATATAGTTATTCTTTATGAAATGTATTTTTTGTTTATACTTTTAGGTGTCTAAAATGCATTAATTGGATTTACATCATTTCTTAAGAGGAAAATGGTTTCAGTTTTTGTGAATTTCACATTTCGTCAGACATTCTGGAACGGATTAATCACAACGAGGGAAGGTCCACTGTATTACATTAGAGTATTACTGTATTATTTTTTATTACTATTATTATTTATTTATTTATTTATTTATTTATTTTATGTCTTTGCAAACAGAACATTGAGATTTTGTATTTACAATAGTGGGTTGCAATGCAAAGAGAGCCTCTATTATGCCTAGGCATTATGGGCCAACTTAACATTATTGGCTTACAGACTACTTAACACTAAGGATTATATCATAGTTGTACAGTAGGATAGTAATTATTTCATAGTTGTACAGTAGATTATTAATTATAAGTGAATCAAAATTTGTATAGACAAAAGATATATTCATATATTCAAAAATGCTTTTTGTGAAAACAATGATTCAGTTATATTCGTGTCAACAATGGATAAAAGGTTCAAGGTGATTGTTGAAGTTATGATGTGGGAGTACATAAGTATGTGTGTACTGAGTATTTAGCATTTAGTCTAGGGTGATTAAATGACTTTTGAGAAGAGTCTTAAATTGATTTTCAGACTGGGTTACTTTAATATCTTCTGGTAATGAATTCTATATTTTGGGGCCCTTTATGTGCATAGAGTTTTTACACAGTGTGATATGGACACGAGGTATATCAAAAAGAGATCTGTTTCTTGTGTTGTGGTCATGTGTCCTGTTTAGGTTGGTGAGGAGAAGTTTGAGTGGAGGGTTTGTAATTGTGTGTATTGTTCTGTGTATGTAGTACGCACATGAATAAGTATGGATGTTCTTAATGGTGAGCAGATTCAGACTTTTGAAAATTGGTGGAGTATGTTGGCGGGAGTGGGAATTTATTATCATTCTTAGTGCTGCCTTTTGCTGGGTTATGAGGGGTTTTAGGTGATTGGATGTTGTTGATCCCCATGCACAAATTCCATATGTAAGATAAGGGTATATGAGTGAATGGTACAGTGCCAGGAGAGCTGATTGTGGAATGTAGTATCTTATCTTTGATAGTATGCCTACAGTCTTGGAGATTTTCTTGGTGATTTGTTGTAAGTGTGTCCGGTACTTAAGGCTACTGTCAAGGTGGATACCTAGGAATTTTCCCTCGGTGAATCTTGTGACTGATGATCCATTTAGCGTTATGTTAAGCGGATCATTTGCAGCTTTGCTTTCAAACTGAATGAAATAGGTTTTATCAGTGTTCAGGGTAAGTTTGTTAGCCATCATCCAGGCAGATATTTTCTCCAATTCGGCATTGACTGTGTTTGCTAGTATGACTGTGTTTGGGTGGGAAAACACATATGTAGTGTCATCTGCAAATAATATGGGTTTGAGTAGCTGTGATGCATTCGGTAGATCATTGATGTAGATGAGAAAGAGGAGTGGTCCAAGGACACTTCTTTGTGGGACTCCTACTGTGATTGGTTGGGTGGAAGAGTTTGCATCATTTGCATACACATATTGAGTTCTGCTACTAAGGTATGATTTTAGGTAGTTGAGGGAGTGGCCTCTGATACCATAGTGCGTTAATTTGGAGTACAGCAGTTGAAGGCCGACTGTATCGAAAGCTTTTCGTAAATCAATGAAAATGCCCAGCGGGACTTCTTTCTTTTCGAGTGCAGTGTATATTAGTTCTAGCATGTGTATGATACCATCATTCGTGCTTTTATTATTCCTGAATCCAAACCGACAAGGGTTTAATATGTTGTGCGAGACGAGGTAGGAATAGATCCATCTATGAATTAATTTTTCAAAGATTTTAGAGAGCAGTAGTAAGTTAGATATTGGTCTATAGTTATTCAAGTCAGCTTGGTCACCTCCTTTGTGGATCGGAGTGACCATCGCTATTTTAATTAAGGATTGTTGGGAAGGTAGATGATTCAATGGATTTGTTAAAGAGCATTGCAATAATTGGTGACAATACTTGAGAAGCATTTTTGTACATAAAAGCAGGCAAGCTGTTTATGTCTCCTGCCTTGTTTTTAAGGGTGTTTATGATGAGCATAACTTCTATGGGGTTGGTTGGAGCTAAGAATAGCATATTTGGGTAGGTGCCTATGAGGTAGTCTGATGGACAGGTGTTTGCGCTTGGTATTTTGTTTGCTAGATTTTTTCCTATGGTGGAGAAGAAAACATTGAGTTTGGTCACTGTTTCAGGTGTGAGTAGGGGTTCATCTGATTTTGTTAGTTTGATTGTTTTGTTTTTGGATAACTTTTTAGTTCCAAGAATTTCAGATAGATTTTTCCAGTTTTTTTTCATATCACCTTTGATGTTATGTAATCTATTTTCATAATACAATTTTTTAGACCTTCTTATCAGGCTGGTAAGTGCTGACGAGTAACGTTTAGACTGTTCTCTAGTTATTTGACCCATTCTATACTGTTTTTCATATTTGTGCTTTGTGTTAATGAATTTGAGGATGCTTGGTGTTAGCCAGGGATTATTCAGTCTCTTTGCTGTGATCTGTTTAGTTTCTTGGGGGCAATGTTGTTTTGGTTTTTTTTTTAGAAAATTATTTATACATTCATTCATATCTGTACATGTATATGTTTCGAGCTCATTTTGCCAATCGATGTTATTCATAGCTGCTATAAAGTTCTTAACTGCTGTCTCGTTATGTAGTTTGAAGGTTACTTTAGTAATGTCTTGTGGCACTTTGCCCAGATTAGTTATGAGAAAGGTTGGGTAGTGATCTGTAGTGTTGTCTGTGATTATGCCTGATTTTAAAGGGGATATGGTGTTTGTCCAGATGTGGTCTATTAAGGAGATGCTTGTCTCGGTGATTCTTGTAGGTTTAGATATTGCTGATAGCAACAGGCAGTTACTCACTGTGTTTGTGAATTCAGTTACTTGTGGGTCCTGGTTGTGTAGTATGCTTATGCTGAAATCTCCTGTTAGTAGTAGGTGGTCTTTATTCATGTGTGCATCAGTAATCATGTTTCCTAGTTTTTCACTAAAGTGGTAAATGTTTGACTGTGGTACTCTGTAGATGTTTATAACTGTTTATAACTGTGATGTTGAGGAACAAATATTTTTTTTACTACATGTATGAGAAAAAAAAGTGATTTTGCAAATGCTTGTAACTACAACTGAGCTCCAAAACTGTACATCTATTATATAAGCTAATATGTTTTAGAGTGTGTTGCACCTTAATGCTACTTCTCATACATAACTGCTTTATACTGAGGATCTGATGTAATACTGATATGAAAAGAAATCACAGCTTAATTATATTACCAAGTGGAAAGTGAAGTGGGTTGCTAGGGAAAGGAACATCATTGCCATCTGCGACTACCCTATTATCGTGAGGGGGGTCCCGCATCCGGGACCATGCAGCAAAAAACCCACACGGTTTGGATGGATTTATGGCGACACCATTCCAGAGGCGTGACAAACCACTGAAGCACAATTTAGAAAGTCATGTTTACAGCTAAGTAAAGAATAAAAATTCACATATCATGGCTGAACAATTCCCCAAAAAACCCCCATATTTTCCCCTTTCAGGTCGAGAGGCCCTCTCCTAAATTTGTTCTCAGGGTCAAAAATTTTTGAAAAAAAAAAAAATGTTTTTTCTTATGAAATGATAGGAATCTTTTTCCGTCTAATGACACCAAAAGTATGAAATTCGTGGAAAACTTATAGAATTATTCTCTCACGAATTTAGCATCTCGCATGTTTCAATGGGCGTTTCGCCCATTTTGAGCCTTTTTTTCGGAAATGCAAATTACCGTTGAAAAAAAATCATAACTATTTCGCTAGAACTCCCTTTTTCTATCAATGAGTACAAAAATCACTCTTTTACGATTTCAACACCCAATAAAGGGTCAGAAATGGCAATTTTGCCAATTTCACACAAATTTAAAAAGAGCCAATTTCCAATAGAGTCCAGAATAACAAAAAAGAATTTTTGGTACTAAAATATTATTTTCTCGGGTTCTTCAGTCATGCCCCACCCCCTTTCTTTTCTTTTGCTTTCCACTTTAAATTTTTTATTTTCAAAAAAAAATGAAGATTTACTGTTATGAGATACTGCTTTAGTGTAGAAGTTGTAAATAATATCAGCACATGTGAAAGAATATGACTCACCAGTTGAGTGATTGGACGCAGGCATGATTTGTTTATTTTTGAACTTTGGAAAAAATTGAACATTTCTGCTATTTGGCTAATATAAAGGTACAGTGGACCCCCCGCTTAACATCCCCCCCCCCCCCTCCCAATGCGACCAATTATGTAAGGTATTTATGTAAGGATTTGTAATGTATTTTTTGGGGTCTGAAAGGGACTAATCTATTTCAAAAATTTTCCTTATGGGAAAACAAATTCGGTAGTACTGGCCCCTAAACATTCTGGATAAAAAAAATATCTTTAACCGGGGGCCATTTTTTTTCATTGAAAAACCAATAAAATCATCCAATTTCTGAATTTATGTTTTTCCATTCTAAAAATGAGACCGGGAAAAAACTAAATAAAACCCTTTAAATGCCATCGAAAATACACTGCAAAATCACTTTTTTTAAACCAAAAAACACGGTCGGAGTTTTTTTTTTTCTTTTTTTCCCAAAAGTGTCTGCAGGATTTTTTTAAGGCACACTGCCACTAGACCCTTCTTTCATATGTAGGCTACCAGCTTTTCTCACAAATTTGAAGGCGCTAAAATTTTACACATATTGTCGGCCCCAAAACCCGGCATGCAACCCATACTAGTAGGGCCCCCAACCCTGAAAGGGTTAAGAGAGGACCCTCATTGTCTTAGATTCCCCAAAGTGGCAGTTTTTGGTGAACCCAAAGTAAATGCTGCACAAAATTACAATGATATTGCTATGAAGAAATAAGTCTGAAATGTTAGTAAGAAAAATATATAAAATTAGAGGCAAAAAAATAATACCTAAGGGATTTAAATGATAGAAAAAATTTAAATAAAAATAATATATTCCTCTTCTGCAGTATATAGAAAATGTATTTTTAATGAAAAAAAATTTGTAGGCAAAAAAAAGCTTAGTGTGTGGTGCATTTTCTGCAACTTGTGGGTTTTACTTTACCAAAACATTATTACCCCTTTTCTTTGTTTTGACCCTCAAAATTAAGGCTACAGGTACATTTTAAAAAAAAATTTTTCTGAAAGGGAAAAAACTTTTTTCTGGAAAACTTAGGAATTACGCGAAAATTAGCGGTTAAACGCAGTTTTTGTTTTGGGGTCCTATTTTTAGGCAATTCCATTGTCAAATAAAACTAAATTCCTGCTTTTTTTGAGCAAGTCATGGGGGGTTATAGGTACAAATTTTTTAATAAATGTCATTAGTTCATGAACTCGAATTACTTGGCAGGAGAAAAATCTTGAATAAAACCCAAATCAAAAGGGTAAAAAGCTAAATTCATAAGGTCTTTTGGGCCCCAGGATCAAAATGATCCTTATGATTTAGTTTTTCACATACATTTAGCCCCCCGTATCCACTGCAGCGGCAGCAGCGAAACGGATCCTACCAGCTTTCTTTCTCAAAAAACATCCCCCATCAAAACTTGTGAGGGCCAAAGTGAAAGTTCAACTCATAAAACCCACTAGCCACAACATGCCCAAAAGAATATAAGAATGAAAACCCAATCTTGAAAAATTAGAAATCTAAGAAGACAGCCTGCTAACCAAACACTGCCCCCGCTGCCAGAAACCACTTAACCCAAGCTCCGAGAAAACAAGCCTTCTCCATTGCTACACAGTTCTACTTCAGTGAACTATAAAAGGATATGCGAAAAACAACCCCAGAAATAAAAGAAAAACGCAAGGACCCAGAACTCAATTTTTCCCCAGCGGAGCGTGTATCAAAAACCCCCCTCACCGACGCCACCCGGGGAACAACAACAAAAACAAAACGGGTGACTACCCTCCAACTCCACTCCCTTCAAAGGATTCCCCCCCTTGAAACTCAGGTACGATTATTCCTGAAAATATCAAGGATACATGTTGCTCTGAAAATGAAATAAAAGATATAAAGCGCACTCGAGCGAGAGATTCCAAGATAACCAACCTGAGAAAAAGATCCAAAACCTAAAGAGAAGATTACAGGGGGAAGTTTTGACCAGAAAATCTCTAAAAGCAGCTATACCCAGTCACCTGAGCAAATAACAACAAAAATTAAGGTTAAAGAAGCAAAAAGGACTGGAATCAAAATGCCCTCGACAAAAAAAATAATCCTTGATTTCCAAGCACAAAACTGAAAAAGATAAGTTGTCTGATGCATTATAATAAACAGTCCACACATTCCTGTGACATAACACAAGCTCGTGAAAAAGAAACTGCTATCAGGAAAATAAAAACCACGTACAAGTCATCGTGAAAACAATGAAATCAAAGAAAAACGTTTTTTAGGAAAAAGGAAGTAAAAAAAGTATAATGATCAGACTTCATTATACGATAAAAAAAAGGGCCTAATTAAAATCAGAAATTACAATGAAAAAGGGAGTGTACATAAATGGGGTTTTCTAAAAAAAAACGTAAAAAACCTTTCGTTCGGCTGAGAAAATTTAAAACGGGAAAAAAAAATAATCATGTTTCACGCGAGATGGGAAAATACTAGTAAGGAAAACATCAACGGCAACAATTTCCATCTCAAACAAACATGATTTCTCTCCTTCCTTAAAAAAGCTGCATTTCTGAAACAGATTAGATAAGTGCCCTTAAAAACATATATAGTGTGGTGCATATAGTGTACGTTCTATTATATTGTACATTATTTTTTTTATTTTTTTTTAAATCACTATAATCCCAACTACCTCCAATACCCCTTAACTTTTACTGCTATTAATTGCTCTTTTTTAAAATTTAAAATCAAATCTTACTCCAAATTTAAATAATATTCTTTTTTTTCTTCCCCTGTCCATTTAATTTTGTTTTCCTACTTGTTTTTTTAGTCACTTTACATTGTGTACAATTAGTGTATATTCCAATTACTTTTTTGCAAGTACCAAAACTTCTTTTGCTGCTAGTCCCAAAACTCCCTCATTTTTTTTATTTTATTGTGCAAAAAATGCTCAATTTATCTAATATTACAAATCGATTTTCCCCCTTAAACCCAATATTATTTCATGTGACATCTGTCCATTTAACTTTGTTTACCATATTAAATTTTTTGCCCCCTTATATATTTTTCTTTATTTTAGCTTTATTAACTACCCTTTTATACATTCACAATTGTTAAAAAAAAATCAAAGGGGCTATTCTCAGGTGCTAAAGTAGAACAAATTCAAATTTTGCCATTAATTCCAAAGCTCATTTATTTTATGTACTACCTACTATCTTTCCAAAAACTCCCTTATTTTATATACTTTATTTGTATGTCCCTTTTTTTTGTCTCCCTTTTTTTTAGTTAAAAAAAAAAAAAAAAAAAAAATACCCTTTGCTCATTATTTTACATTTTTTAAATAATTCGGGGCTATTTTTTTTTGCTTAGACTATTTACTTTGTTTTATACTTAATTCAACTATAGTTCACTCAAAAATTTTGATTACAAACATTGATCCAATCCCAAACCCCTTATTTAATGACTTAAATGAATCAAACAGTTCTGTAATTCTACCTGCAAACAAACAAAGGGACTTTCCCGTGCCAAAAACCATAATTCTTTAAACTACAAACGACTTTAAGCAAGCATTTTGATGACCCTTGCATTTCTAAATTCCCTTTCATCCCAAAATGTCCTCATTTCACTAAAATGAAACCCGGCTAAAGCCTGATAGTCGATGTCTATGCCATTCCTGGTTACACACCCTACCAACTGTAGGCCAGACCAACAAGGGGGTGGCCAGCCTATATACTCAGAACCCAAATGAATGTTCAAATTCTTTCACAAGAATGAACATGGGGAATATTATAGCCAAATCAAAACCAATACCAAAAAAACCTCTCAATTGAAAACATTACAGAGTTCCACAGTCAAACATTTTGCCAATTTTTTTCAAAAAACCCAGGAAGTATGATAACTGATGCACGCAGAACAAAAATCACTTACTACTTCAGGTGACTTTAATATAAATCTCCCGCAAGACCAGGACCCCCACGTTTTTGAATTCACAAAACAATGAGTAATGTATGTTGCTACCAACAGAACAAAAAACCTAAAGGTTAGAGATAGTGTTTCCCACTTTCCACATCTGGACCAAACCAATCCCCTTTAAAAACAGGCATAATTTCGAAATACCCCAAAACCACTCCCTACTTTCCTCATAACAACTTTGGGAAAATTACCCCAAGACATACTAAAGTCCCTTCAGACTTCACAAGAGGCAGCATTAAAACTTCACAACACATAGCAAAAATTGATGGCACACTGAGCTAGAAAAAAATACGATATTTACGAATTATTAATAATTTTCTAAAAAAAAACTCAAAACCCCTATAAAGCCTGCC